CCTCCGGGGCAGGCGGGAATCGAACTCATGCGGAAGTGGCTTTAGCTTCTCAGTGCAGTGCTTTAACCCGCTGCGCCACCAGGGAGGGCCGCAAATATATTTTTTAAAGGACCTGCCCCAGGACATGGTATTCCTTTTGCTTTACTATTAGTTTTCTACTTCTAAATAAAATGAAATGAGTACACACCTGGTCTGCTCTGCTGTTTCCTCTTGCACCGCATGATGGCATTTCAGAGACGTGGCATTCCCCTCTACAAAAGTGGGATCCTGAAATCTCACCCCATAATTTTGTTCTCAAGCCCCTAATGTGGTAGCAACTCATTTCAATTTCTGCCTCTACATTAATGCTTTTTTTTTTCTTCATCAGTCCTCCTCCAATGATAGTATAACCAATTACTTGTTTTAAAATGCTTCTGGTATGAACCAGCCAGTGAGCTCAGCTGGTTAGAGCATGGTGCTAATAAAATGCTTCTAGTACATAGGTAAACTTGGGAGACATGCTAAGTCAAAGACCCCAGTCAGAAAAGGACAAGCAGGGCATGATTCCTCTCACATGAGACATCTAAAACAGTAACAGGCTCTCCCTGGTGGCGCAATGGGTTAACTGCACAGCACTGCAAAGCTAGAGCAGCCACTTCAGTGAGAGTTCAATCCGTGGGCCTGAAGGTGACCCACATGGTGCAGGAGACCTCTCCTGTCTCGCCTGCTGCTCCCGTCAGCAGTGTATTTCAATAGATCCACCTGTTCTGCTCCCTCTCTGTCGCTGGTGAATCATCTCACCCCTGCATGTCTGGCCTATACCCCATTCTTTTACGCAAAAATATAAAAAATTGAAAATCTTTATTAAAATAATCATGTTAGCCAGATTTTAATATCTGACACATATCCAAATAACACATATTCATAACAGACATACATCCAAAGGTTAGTCAACAACAAATAAAAATACAGCACATTTATATGATGAAAAATTACAGAGTTATACAACTTAATGTATTGTTGCACTTAAAAATATGAAATATGGCCCTCCCTGGTGGCACAGCCAGTTAAAGAACATAGCCACTTCAGTGCAAGTTTGACCCCCGGCCCCGGAAGTAATCCACATGGCTCAGGAAACCTCTCCTGTCTCCTCTCAGTAGTGGACTTCATTGATCTGCCTACTCTGCTCCCCACTCTGTAGCTCTGGTGAATCCTCTCACCA